TTCACGATCACCTTCCTTCCAACTGTGCCGAAACCTGGTCTTCCCGGAGACCTCTTACCCTGCGAAGAAACCGGTGGTGACTGCTGCTGCTCTGTCTGTTTCTCCTCAGCCACTGGAACTGGTTACACCAGCTGATAGGGGGACGAAGCAGACGGTTCTAGATTGAGTTTATGCTCGACCTCATCACTCAACGCCAAGGTAGAAAGTGCGGGTTGTGCTGGACAGACGGAGGAGAAGCGTTGTAAACTCGGAACGCCCCCGCCACGTCCGAATGACGGCGACGGCTGCTGGTTGCGACCATAACCACCACTTCCCTTACGTCCTCTTCCCCTGCAGACATTTTTAGTTTTAAATCTCTTCGAAAGAGAATGTGTGGAGGGGTTTTCGCAGTATGTATGTTGAATACAAAGTGAAGGGCACTTCGTGGGTAGACTTGCTTATATACGCAAGAAATATACTACATGTACAAAGGGGTGACAAGAATGCCCCTCCAATAGGGGAGTGACGTTGGCCATTTTCACCCATTTGTACAAGTATCATTGCTCTATAGGCAAAGAGAACGTGGGACTGTTGATGGGGGTTTTGTACGATACTAATTCATCATTTTTCTGCACGTATGACTACACACAGGTATATGTTGAATTGCACAGATAAATGATTTGTGCATATTTATATATAAAAAGTGGAGAAATAAGTAAATATAGATGTACAGACGCGTTCCCAAATAAAAGGAGCCTAAACATTGAAAATCGATTCATACCAATCAAACACGTATTGTTTATTATCGAAAAAAATGCATATACAGTATTCATACATCCGTATAAATAAAGAACATTCATAAAAATATATAGTCGGAAAAATGACACAGGCATACAGCATTGCACACTGACGCGCACATCAGACACCATACAGCTACACAGAAGAAATAAATGAGAGCGAAAGACATATCCTCGCATCGCAATGTGTCAGATCTCTGTCATCCACTTGAACTAGAAAGTGATTCGCTTTTACGATCACTTTCCTTCCAACTGTGCCGAAACCTGGTCTCCCCGGAGACCTCTTGCCTTGCGAAGAAATCGGTGATGGCTGTTGTTGCTCTGTCGTTCCTCCTCAGCCACTGGAGCTGGTTACATCGATAGATAAGCGAACGAAGCATACGGGTCTAGATTCAGTTTATGCTCGATCTCATCTCTCAACGCCAAGGTAGAAAGAGTGGGATTGTGCTGGACGGACGGAGGAGAAGCGTTGTAAACTCCGAAACGCCCCCGCCACGTCCGAATAATGGCGTCGGCTGCTGGTCGCGACCATAAACACCATCGAAAATAAATGCATATACAGTATTCTTACATCCGTACAAATAAAGAACGTTCAAAAAAAATATACAGCCGGAAAAATGACACAAGCATATGGCATTGCACACTGACGTTCACATCAGACACCATACGTCTACACAGAAGAAATAAATGAGAGCGAAAAACATATCCTCGCATCGCAATGTGTCAGATCTCTGTCAGCCACTTGAACTAGAAAGTGATTCGCTTTCACGATCACCTTCCTTCCAACTGCGCCAAAACCTGGTCTCCTCGGAGACCTCGTGCCCTTCGAAAGAAACCGGTGGTGGCTGCTGTTGCTCTAACTCTTCCTCTTCAGCTACTGGAGCTAGTTACACCGACTGATAAGCAGACAAAGCAGACGGGTCTAGATTGAGTTTCTGCTCGACCTCATCACTCAACGCCAAGGCGGAAAGAGAGGGATTGTGCTGGACGGACGGAAGAGTATATCGCTTGATGCGAAGTGTTGTAAACTCCGAAACACCCCTATGTACATCTTGATGTATCACTAGCAAAATCGGGCCAGTTGGGGCACATTCCACGATTTATCTGGTCTGCATCTTGAGGGGCCAAGGCATAGACCCCCAGGATTAGTCGCCGAAGGTGGACACCACGATATAAAAAAAAGGGAGATGGAGGGAAAAAAGGGTACTACATTTTACTTGGTGTTGGAATTATTTCTTCACTATACATCCCAACCATCATTTCGTCTATTAAAGCATGACTTTCGATCCGTTAAACTACCATACATATCTGAAAACTTCGTTAAGGCAATTGCTTCTGACCCCGTAATGAGCCTTTGTATTCCAGCTCGCAACACCAGAAATTTTCAACGTATCGATAGCCCATGTGGGTTTCACATAATTGACAACCTCATATAAGCTTGCATTAGCATACAAGTGGTTCATAAGCACATCCTCACAATTGAAATACTTGTCCACCAATGCCCTGCCTGCTGAAGCTTTCTTGCTCCAGTACCTCCCAAAACCCATAGGACCGTAGATAAAAGTCGTCCCTGTTAAGATAACGTTCTATTCATTGTGGCTTCCCATGAAATATGTGATTAAAATTAATTATTGATTTTGACTTAAATTAAAATTTAAATACCTACCAAACAAGCACTTAATAAAGTTTATGAAAATTCAACCCAATACTTGCTTATCAATCATTAATAGTACAAGGGTAACTCATTTGCTAATGATATTTTTTGTCACCAAAGGTGGATCGACCATCACGTGATTAACAGACATAATTGGGATAACTGATATTTCTTGATTTGTCATTTTATATACCCAAAGATATTAAATGCCTTACTTGAAAATATATAATTGCCAAATAAAATTAAATACAAATTATAATAAGGTTTGTTGATTGGTGTATCATAGTATCTACCCAAAGGAGAGTTTGGATTATACATTTATTAATTCTATTTGAATCTGATATATTTTATGTTTCAAAGCATTAACATATAGAGAACCGACTTTATATTATCAATCTATGTTACCTTTCATTCTTTTGCTTAATAAATTCTTTTGTTTAATGGATTAAATTTCTCGAATTTGCATAAGCAAGTCTAATTCCAATTATGTTTTTGGATCCTGATTTAGCTATGATATTTGAGAATTTTGCTGCTATTATTGATAAAGACACGAAAGAGAGAAAAAAAAAAAAAAAAACTTTCGTAAACTTTGTATAGACTGAATAAATTGAGCACTACTCTTCGATCCATAACTTCTTTTATTTCTAGAACATTTCCAAGATAATGATAAGTATCTTGCAAGGACGCTTATGGTTGGCCTTACCGTCGTGAAATTTGATGGTACACGAAACATGCACGAATATGTTTTAGAGATGACTAATGCAGAAGTGAATTTGGGAACCTTAAAGATGAAGGTTGATGGATATTTCCTAGTTCGGCGCTTCTGAAATTTCTTGTTGCCTCGGGATCAGCCACTCCATGGTGAGTGTTTGGCACCCATTTTAATGGGTTAAAAAAATTTGAAATAGTGATTGATGAGAGAATATGTGGTAGAAAAGTGATGAAAATTTTTAGATTTGTGTGTAATATTATTTTATTTGAAGAATATATGTTTAAAATGAAGAAAAAAAATGAGAAAAAGAACGGATGCCAAACATGGACATATTTTTATCAAGTATAAGTTAAGCCACTCTTTGGTTTATATAAAAAAATTTGATTTTTACTAGATTTTGATAAAAAGAAAAAAATGTGTGATTGAAAATATTAAAATTAAATGTTGACTTTAATTTAAATTTTAGAGCATGTTTGGTACAGATTAAAATCAGATTTTAATTTAAGTTAAAGTCAAATTATCAATATTAACCACATCTTTCATAGGTCCCACAACTTTTCAACAACACATTTTAAATATCTCTATCACAATCTACAAAAAATCTAATTATAATTTCCATCAAACACTCTCTTAATCAGTTTTTTAGCTAAATCAAATAGAGGTTAAATGAATTTACCGGAATGTAAAGGCAAGAGGAGACAAGATTTAAGCAATAGGTAATAAAGATGTCAACCCCATCGCCCAAGAAAGTGAGAAGATCAAGTCAGTGAAAGGTTTAAGGAAGTCATAAGGAAATAAAAATATAATCTGAACACTTCTATGCATACAAGGACTTTGTTTTATAGATCTTCAAGAAATAGCAAATACATAGAATACTATGGCGTCCTTCGATGCACCATATGTTTCAACAGCAACTCCGGCAATAATCACTACTAGAAAAATAATTATTATTCTATATGAGAATAAAGAATTTCCCTTTGACTTCTTGATTAAAACATCATATTCTTGCATACTTGTAATTCAACTCTTTAAAAGCATAGTTCGTATTCTTTAATTCGAAAATAATGAACACTAGTCTTTTTATATTGACTGCTTCTCTCCTTAGTGTTTGGGATTATTTTCGTTCAATTAAAATTGTTGTACAGGCTCATCTGTACAGGTCTTCACCAGGCATTTTTTTAGTAGCTGACATGGCAGGTGATTAAGAAAAGGGGGAAAAAAAAAAAACCTGAGTGGACGCTATGAAATCAAAGAATTAAACTGGTTTGCCAGAAAAATATTGACATGTTTTTTGACATCCTCTCACATCAGCACCCATATGAATTAAAAAAGACAAAAAACTTTGTGTCAAACCCTCCCTGACAGCCTAGTAAGGTTCGAAATCAATTTGATCCGCGGTATTATCCCCAAAAATTAGAAAACCCACCTATTTTCCTTCCTTCCCGATTGTGAACCGTGGCCCTGCAACAACATTCTACAACTCCACCCCGACCATATTCTCCACCTCCGGTGAACCCACATTAGCCAAACTCTTTTTTTTAAGGCAAATCCTTGAGTTTTGTTCTGATAGATTGAAACCTTTTTTCCATTATGGCTAGCAGCTAGTAAGGGGTGGGCGTGTGTTGAGCTGTGTCAATTTTTTTCTCAACCCAAACCCTATCTAATATAGTCGATTTGATTTTGATCTAAAATCAAACAATCCTAACCTAATTATTGATTTAAACACAACCCAACCCAAACCGATTTGGGTTGGGTAGGTCAGTTTGGGCTTCGGCCAAATAAAAGTTCAATTCGATTATTTTTTGTTGAATTTAGACAATTTTTTAATGTTTGAAATTACTTGAATACCTCCATTGTTTTTTTCAACACCTATATAAGGAATTTTTTTTCTAAAAAATAATGTATAAATAGGTTTAAAATTATAAAGTTTTTTTTTTTTTACAATTTTTTGGGATTTGTTCATTTCATTATCATGTCTTTAATTTTGAAATTCAATCAATACAATTTTCATTACCCAATCTAACCTCAAATTTGATTTTTTAACCTACCCGAACCCAACCCAACCGATCGGTTTGGGTTGGATTGGGTTGGGTTGGGTTTTGTCCCACCCTAACAGCTGGGAGTTATCCTCTTCAATTATAATGATTTATTGTCTTAGATTGTGAATGACAATTATTTGAGATTTTCGGGATTTCCATTCGAATCCACATTCTTGTAGCCGCATGATTAATTTATTCCATAGTTGAGAAATAAAATGCTTGAAGGTTGTAGTTGGATCCTTTGTCCCTAAGCTTACTCATTTATCTCCAGTGACATGGAAATGGAATACGGTGAAATGGAATTATTGATGCTGTCATTCTTCAATTATTTATGCTGTAATTTTAACAAGGTTCAGTCATTTGACTGAACCTTACTCTCAATTACATGGAATTTAATTACGAGATGAGGAATCCGATGCTGATTCCGCAGCGACCGGACCGAGGAGGTTGCTGATTTTTGAAGTCGGCCCGAATGGTGTTGGGACTGCTTGCGACCTCTGTCTTCTTTCTCTTACGAGTAAACAGATTGAGAGAAATTTGTTGTCGGTGGTTCGCCGGTGGCCGGAGATGGCGAGGAGATTCGCGGTGGTCGGAAGTGAGCTTGCTCTTTTAGGGCTCTGTTTGCACAACATTTGTTGAAGGATTTGGGATTTTGGGGAAAAATGAGCTGGCCGTCTTTTTTAATTGTTCCGATTTTTTATTTTTTTCACCGCCACATCAGCTAATTAAAAAATGTCTACAAGATATCTGTGAACCGACGCCCTGGTTCTATAGCGTGATCGATTTTCCATATTGGGGTTCATTGTATCCTGAAGGCATTTTGCTTACCTTGTGGCTTGTGCATCACCAGCAGTGACACAAATATCGTCTCAAGAAAAGTGCAAATATGTGTACTGGATCCAAGTTTTCTCATCTCAAGTTCAATGTGATTTTCTCCAACATCATGTACTCTTCGTCTTGGCCATTGCGAAGATAGTTCCAATGGGACGTAACGATAAACATGGCGAGTTTCCTAGGTTCCTGATGCAATGATATTTAATATGGAATTGGTACTCCCCAACCCCAAATATTCACTTTCTATCATTATGGAACTTACGCAAATAGTACTAGTTCCTATAAACCAAGAAATAGGTGTCCCAACAAATTCAAGTTTGTTGGTGGTGAGGCTAATTAAGGCCATCGGGAAAATGGGTGGCAGAAATCAAGAACACAGCTCAGAAAATCGGAATTTGGCTTGGGACATTGGACAGTGCTCATTCAAGAAGAGGAGTTTTGGCATATGACAAGGCTGCTTGGCCATGACAATTGTGAATTGACAAGGCTGCTAAGGCTTATGACGAGGCTGCTTTCCTTCAAGGTACAAATACGGGGCTGTGATGAGGCAGCTGAGACTTATGAAAAGGCAGCTATGGCTTATGACGAGGTTGCTTTCCTTCTTCGTGGTACAAATACACCCCCCTCCTATTCTAGCTTCGACAAACAGTACACCAAGAAAAGGAGGCAATCTTGGTGCTGGTACTATAACTATTTCTCTCCTAGCTAGAAGTTCTCAATATGTTACAATTTCCTGGTGCAGGATGCATTGATATATAGGATAAGACGAAGGAAAAAGAAAAAGAAAAAGATCATGTGTAATATGTCCTTCATTATTGACAAGTCCTGTTACCACACAATTACAGAAGTTCACAAAATACAATGATTATTGCTCACAAACGCTAAAATTATGAAACTATTACACTGGACATATATCTGCATCCAATCTTTGACTTCTTTGAGAGGGAAACTTACTCAGGTGTGAACTCTGCACCGAATATAAAAAAAAAATTATCAGAAAGCATGCATGAATAGTGAACAAACTTTGATATGGTTACTTGTTAGTGTAAATATATGGCAACTAGAAATAGGGTTGTACCATGTAGTAGTAGGTGCACTCAGAATATATGAAAGGAACAATGAAATGTTCCACAAGAAGCACCTGGATTTTCTGGATCACTGCCTGCAGCTGGCAAGTTCCCTCCACCGCTGATGTAAAGACGGAGTTTTAGAAGTAACCATGAAAGACCGGAAATCGACATTACAATTACCAGGATGATCACTATTTTCATTAGGTTAAATTGGATTTCCATGAAGTTATAAGATTAA